GATAAGGAGGGGAAAGAGAGAGGAGGAGGAGAGAGAGAGAAAAGAAATAGTCTGATAAGACAGGACACAACAGTGAACATTAATGGGGGGGCAGCCTTGTAATGGGGGGCTGACATATGAAGTGTGCTTTGGTCATTCATTTTCTGCTGCACACAGCAACCAATCACCTTCCAACAATTATTTTTGCATAAAATTATATATGTATAAAAGAAGAATTCTGACTGGTTGACCATGGGACCTTACTAGCTCAGCCATCACAGAGAGGCGAAAAGTATGGAGGCAGTAGAGGCGGTCCACGTTCATTCATAAGGGGCCTTACCGCGATCCGTCCAGCGGGCCCGGTGCTGCAGGCTTTGGAAGAGGGACATTGTGTGGGAAGGTACCTGAGAACAGTCGGTACCGTGCGGAGTCCTGGGAACAGCAGCAAGCACCCCTCCTCCTCTCTCACAATAATCTCCCGTGGAACAAGCCAAGCCTGCAGATAGTTCTGCGAAACGCCAGCCGACCCGCGGATTGGTCAGCACCTCTACCAACCACCGTTGGTCTACTCTCTGCCTTGCGGCAGATACGCCCCTGCCCGGCGGGCCGGATAAATGTCCTCTGCGGGCCGCAGTTTTTGGACCCCTGCTGTACACTAACAGAAGGATTTTACAGGAAGTCAAAAATCCTTTTTTTTTTTTTTTCCTGCAGCAAAGCACAAAAGATTCCTTAGAGAACATGTGAAAAAGGAACTAGAGGTCCACCTGTTTGCTGGAAATTTAAAGAAAACTTCCAAAAATTTAAATGCAAGCTTTCTTTTATTTAAAGCCGATTTCCAGGCAGATGTTAAAAAATAAATGCGTCAACTGCTGTTGTGTATTGTCAAAATAAAATAAACGGTGAACACACTAATGCTTCACCAATGTTTTAAAAACAACTTTAAAACACTGACAAAGGTTCATATCATTCTGCCAGTCCTCCTCCCACTCCAATACATTTTACCCGCAAAAGAGCTTACTCTTGGAAACCATCTCCATGCGCTCGGGCGGGCAGCTGTCAGCGGCCATAGGATCTGGTACTTGGGGGTGTTTTGAGCAACATGTTTTATCATTGGTTTTACATGCTGTTATGTATCTTCAAATGTATTTCAAAATGCAGTATATGTGCAGAGTTGGAAATTACACTTATTTACAAGTCCAAGGACTGTTTAATATATGTATGTATGACTCATAAAATCAGAAGCTTGGCAAAATCACTACCAAAGTGCTCCTAATTAGTTATTAAAACTACAAGACAAAGGGACATTTCAGCCTCCCCTCTCAACTGGTGATTTATTTCTATGCTAAGATGATCATCTTTTTGTGGGGATGCTATGCTAATCAGTGCAGGGCAGATGGCAATCAGAATTGCAGCACATTAGAGCTGATTGCAACAGAAGTCCAACTGGCACTTCTTTATTTTATTTATAAAACTTATGAGCTGCCTGCTGTTGAGGCGACATGATGCTGATATACAGCACTGCCTCGGTTCCTTTCATTATGTATGCCCTGCACCTTTCGCCATGCTGTTTGCCCATGATAAAGTAAAAGGCTTAAAAATGCCCTCCTGAAGGGTGCATTTTTTGCTCCATGAGTTTTAAATTGCGGATCACTTTAAGCTGATTACCACATCATTTGCTAGAAATGAGACACAGATATGCTAATATGTACAATACGGTTCCGTCATGTCTAATTGCAAGGACCAAAGGTGCTTTCTGCATAAGGCATATGTTTTAACTGGCTTTTTGTGCAGATGTCAGCTTATGAATAAAACATACAGTGTGTTTTTTAGCATACAGATCAACATTTTAGAAAGGAAAGTGTTTGGAAGGAATAAGAGCAGTGTGCGACCACTAATCCATTAGTGCCCATTCTGGACTGTATTTGAGGTCACACTTACTGAAACATTAAGCAATGATGTGTGTAGTATTTTACAGGGAACTGCTTGCATCGTTTCCAAACAAGGTTCAATATTCAGGCCAATGCTTATTAACTAAATAGAAATGACAAAAAGCTCTGTGTATACCACTGTCATTCTTCTGAGCTCTCAAAAGCAACCAACCTGATGAGCAGCATGATCAAAATCACATACAACTTTTAATTTTTTCCCAACATTGTTTTTCAAATACTTTTTTGGTCTATTGGCTGCAAAGTCTATTAAAACTTAGAGTACGTATGACCTTTATCAGCTAAAATGGGTAGTCTTGATGTCTCATGATCCCCAGTACTTGAGCACAGCTTACATTCATCTTATTGATTATCTTTCTAACATGCCACTGCATAATTGGTTGCTTTGCTTTCTTGCACATCATTGCTTTGTACATGATGCACTTTAAAAGCCCCTTCACATGATGCCACTGTGCTTCATTTAGCAGGGGATCTGTGAGCAGATCCCCTGCTGATTGAATGCTGAATGTGACAGATGTCTTTTTTTCCCTTTATAGCCATGCCTGTTCAGTTTGTCCCCATTTACACAGCAGACAGGGGCAGACCTGTGTTAGCTCTATGAGTGTCCGGATATAAACAAACTTGTGTCTGTTTACACCAGACTACCTCCGATCTGTAACATTTCAGGTCCCAAAAAATGGAAAAGGACATAGTCCTTTTCAGGTTTTTTTTTTGTGTTTTTTTTGGACCTGGATGGACTCATAGGTAGGCAGGTGTAAAAGGACACAATTCCGTTTGCATCAGCCAGCCCATAGAGCTGCATAGAGCTTCCAGTCAGGTCCACCTGAAAAACCTGAGCCGATTGGAAAGCCCATATGAAAGGGCCTTAAATATGAAGTATGCATGTTTTAGTCTTACACAGGGTCTGTGGTCACTACAGTGGGTTTTTTGTAGTTACTTTTAGATGGTTGGACACTGGTTGGAAAGCCGCAGGGACATTCCCCCTGTATAACTCTTCACACTTCTACTAGCTTCAACTTTTTGCTAGTGTCAATGGACCTCTTTACTTTTCTGGGAGAAGCTTACCTTCTTCCTATAAAGGTTTTCTCTTTCTCACCTTGATAAGTCTTCCACCTATATGATTCTCCTGTCACAATAACTGCTGCATCATAGCCAATGAATCTCCTACTGCAACCTCCGGATGGCTTAAAGCGGAGTTCCGCCTGAAAAAAAAAAAAAAAAGCAGCTACAAAAACTGGAGCTATTGACTTTTAAAATACAGCCACTTACCTGTCCCTCAGTGCAACGGTGAGCTCACCACCGCTGGTTTCACCGGCCATCTTCTCTCCCTGGCGCTGGCATCTTCAGTGTGGGCACCTGACTGTGACAACTTGCAGCTTCACAGCCGGGTGCCCACTGAGCATGTGCGAGAAGCGATGCACTTTGTGAATGGCCCGTAGTCTTCTGGGACCTGTTAGTGTGCCTTTAAAAAGTCCACCTCTACTCCACTTTGTGGAGGTCCACAATTTTGTCTCTGGTGTCTTTTGACAGCTCTTTGGTCTTGCTCATGGTAGTAGTTGGCGTCTGACTGACTGTGGGTGGACAGGTGTTTTTAAAGAGCTCAAACAGGTGCTACTAAGTTAGATTAATGAGTGGAGTAGAGGTGGACTTTTTAAAGGCACACTAACAGGTCTTTGAGAGACAGAATTCTTGCTGTTTCTTAGGTGTTCAAATACTTACGTTCAGCAGTGCAAGACAAATAAATTCTTTAAAAATCATACAATGTGATTTCCTGAATTTTTTTTTTTAATTCTGTCTGAGTGGGAATGCACCTACGATGTGAATTCAGACCCCTCCATGATTTCTAAGTGGGAGAACTTGCAAAATCGCAGGGTGTTCAAATACTTCTGTTCCTCGCTGTAGATCAAGTTCAAAATGTCAACACTGCTGTGCTATTTCAAGTTCAATTCAAAATGGAATCACTATGACAGTTCAGACCAGTTGGAAGTGGCACTCATGTGAATATACTTGCTCAGCGATGGTTGAACCCATAAGGATGGATGTCCACCACTATCAATTCTTCAGATCAAACACTCTTATATGGACCCCAAAATAAACACTGATAGCATTCATAAATTGACCTCACACACATGCAGAGAGCATGTGTGGAAACATCAAACACATCCACATAGTGTAAAAACCGGTAAAAGATCTCTTTGGTAAAAAAAAAAAAAGTATTGCACTTACAAGTTTAAAATAATGAGAGTGCTTCTCACAAAAGTCCATCCCGGGAACATACAGAATACTTCCTGGATTCGCGTACGCAATGATGTCATGGGCACGGACTCCACACAACGTGTTTTGTCAAAATCGACATTGTCTGGGGCATACCCCTGAAGTTTATCAAACAATTCTGGGGTGCAATATAGGGCCCAGTGTCAGAAAGTTGGCTTTCCGTCAGAGGTCATGGGTCTTGCAGCAGAACAATGACCCAAAGCAAATGTCAAAAAGCACCCAGAACTGGTTTCAGACAAAGTGCTGGAAAGTGCTGAAATGGCCAGCACTTAGTCCAGATCTAAATCCCTTAGACCACCTATGGAGAGATCTCAAAACAGCAGCTGGGAAAAGGTACCCTTTCAATCTGAGAGACCTGGAACAGTTGGCGAAGGAAGAGTGGTCCAAAATTCCAGTAGAGAGGTGTCAGAAATCATTGATGGTTACAGAAGCAATTGATTTCAGTTATTTTTTCCAAAGGGTGTGCTACAGATTACAGATTTGGCTTTTTGTTTCTTAATTTTTTTGTGTCATACCTATACAAACAACGACATAAACATGAGAATGCCTAAACCTTTCTAATTGCAACAATTGTCTGGTGAAATGGTGCACTATCGGAGAGAAATGCAGGTGTGCCAATATCTTTGGCCTTCACTGTTGGAAACACAGCTTCTCCAAACCTATTTAATAAAAAAAAATAAAAGGTGGACATTGCTGAAGTGAAATTTTAAATCCTGTTAATTTATCTGTTAACTTTGCAGTGGTATTTTGCACCAGTTAATGGCAGTTTTGTATACTTTAGTTTTGTTTTGTTTTTTTTAGGATGAGTGGATTCCTATGGTTGTGATCTCTGGACATTTCAACAGTGTGCAAGGTTTAAGATGGGATCCTGCTGGTGAATTTATCATAACAGTTGGTACAGATCAGACGACCAGATTGTTTGCTCCCTGGAAAAGAGAGCATCAAGCTCAGGTATATTTTATGATTTGTACATAATTTTTATAATGTTGCAAAGTCTGTAGTGTTGCAAAATGCAGTGATTCAGGGGGTTCAACAACTTTTTTAGTGTTCGTGTTGAATAGTTGAGAACACAGTTGCAAGCAGTTAATATTTAACTTGGTCTGTTTTTTAAGGCAGGCTATAGATTATACGATTGCTCAAATCCCTCTCTCGGAGCCATTGTGTTCTCCTGGCAGGAGGGAGCTGTCGCTGCTGGGAGAACATAGTGATTATAGCTAGAGGCTTTGGCCGCTGGCAATAATCTCATGACAAATTCGACAGGCTGGTTTTATCCGAATTGTACAGCAATCGAATTTGGTACAATCAGCCTGCCCACAGATGGTTTGAATCTCGACCAGTTCAGCAGGGACTCAATTCGAATTGTCTATGGCCAGCTTAACAGTGATACATTTTGTCATATCAAAGTTTTAAATGTATTTGCTATTAAAATTGAACAAAACTCCACATGATTCTTAATTTTGATACTAAGCTGCTTCAACACCTGTAGGTTACAGTGAGATCATAGCTTGCCGAGTGAGACACAGTATTCTGGTGCCGTATTGGTACAGTTCATTTAAATAGAGGTCATGCCTCAGAGAAGTATGAGTGTTATTTACATGATGGATGCATCAGTGTTACTGCACATAGGGTGCACACATATCTTGAGTCTTCTAATTTTTATCAAAAGCATATTCAATAAACTTTTTACAAATAATTTTTTTCCATTTGCATAATTTTGTCCTGCATTACTAGGGGTTTTGCTTTTTCCAACAACTGCTTAGGGGGACAAAAACACTTAGCTTCCAATTTTTAATAATGTGTTGAATAACTGTTTTATGCCTGAAAAATCTATTCAGCAAGTCTGTGAAAGAGCTCAGTTTGTTGCTAGGCAACAAGACGGCATAAAGAGCAAGCCTTCCAAAAAGAAAAAAAAAAAAGTAATGACGCAATTTTTTTTTTTTTTCCTCAATCCAAAGGGGCATCTCGGTAGAACTGCAATATGAGATGGTTTGTTACTGTGTAGCTACAATAGCGATGACCTGTATGTTGCTTGCTATTCCATATAGCACTTGTACAGTTATTCTATGTAGCCGGCGTATTTTCATTTTCTCCTTATGACTTTTTTATCATGTAGTGTAACGACCTCACAGGGGAAGGATGCCTTGTTTTTTAATTTAACGGTTTCTGAATGAAGTGTATGTGTGTGTGTGTGTGTGTGTGTGTGTGCATGTAGCAAAGCATCCAGTAGTGTGTTAATGCTTGGAAACAGTGAATGATTGCTAAAAAGGATAGATATTTACTGAGATTGCATTAAATGGAAAATCCTATTTTTGGGTAATCGTACTGAGCAGTCAGAAACTACCGGCCTTTTTCATTTTGACCTTATTCTTAAAAACACAGAGAAGTGTTGCATTGCGGTGGTGTAAAAAAGGGAACTTAACTCTGGAAGCAGCGTTCAAAAAAACAAGGCACAACACTTGCCTTATGGACACGCAGAGCTGGGCTCGGGAATGAGATTGCTTGAGTGTCCCTAGAGCAAGCGGCTTGCTATGGGGGCACTCAGCATGGGGATGGAGCCAGGAGTGCTGTCGGCGATGAGCTTCAAGTGAAAATCGCAGCAAGACCGCACTACATTTTCGGTGCCATTAAAAATGAATGGCACAAAACAGGCATGCTGCATTTTGCCAGGATCCAGGATTACAGTGCGATTTGGAATCGCAGGCAGAATCAAAGCAATTCCACCCGTGATCCCAAATCACTAGATGTAGACAGGGTCTGACTCGGAATGCACAGTGTCTGCATCTAGTGTCGTCTGGAGGTTCTGATCGCGTGTAAGTTATATGTGAACAGCAGCTAAGGTGATTGATTTGTAAAGAGTAGATATCTAGCAGCTGCTGCCAATAGCCGTTGCTGGTCACACAGCAGGCAGCTTTACAACCATCCCACTGTTAAGATGGCCATAGATGAATCAATGGTTGAACAAAAAAAAACTGACCTGATTCAACTGTGTGGTTGGGGGAATCCTCCCCACTGAGCCTTTGTTTTGTAACAGTGGGAAGACTTCCCTTTCATCAGAATAACCAGATCAGCATTGCTGGCTATAGCCTGTGATGTTGATCAAGCAGGGAAAATCTGATAGGGCATTTTTACAGTAGTAGATTGATAGATTGACTTCTGTACAATCTCCCTACACATACATGGATTAACTGTTCTCTGTCTTTATTCTGTTTACGTTTATGTATCTGTGAGGAGGCCTTAACATTGCCTCCTTACTGCCTTTTTTAACCTCTAAAAGCCTGCACCACAACTGCATGGCGAATTGGTCACATTTAATAGGTGCTACTGCCTACTAAGTGCAACAGCCTGTATAACTTTTGCCCCCATCTGCTGCCTTTGCAGCTTAAGGGGGGAACAGTTGGGGGGCGGTAAATATACAGCTCATCCCGGAGCTAAACCCCCCACCCCAGAAAAAAAAAGAGGAAAAAATATATATATGGGACTGATAAGACACGGTGCAGGCCATACTTTAATCTAAGAAGAATTATAGTTGAAAAAAGTCCATACGTTGGTATAGATGGCAAAATACAGAGAATTCCAGAAGAAGCAGGAGGAACAGTTCCTTTGCATATTGAGGGGGTCCGTTTAATGGAGACACGAGAGGCAGTCTCAAGACACCTTGTCTAAGAAGTAGTGTCCAATGTCTTCTATGTATAGTGCCCATGGGGTGGAAGGATTTAGGCATGCTATACCACCAGTGAGCATAGTTGGGCACATTACTGATCCACCTTAGCTCAGTGCCAAAGGCATTTCAGCTTTCCAGTGGCTGCCATATTGTATATGTTGCTGAAGAAATGCTCTGCAGCTCAAGCATAGGATTTGCAGATGAAGTAAGGAGCAGGCTAAAGATGATGGTGAGAGAAGTCTATAAAGTGGTATACTTCCTGTGTGGGTAAAAAACAGGATCACTAAAGAGTAATAGGAAGCCATGGTTGGTCAGTGAGTTGATTCTGTAGTATGCCCATTAAGTAGGTGTACTCCTCTGCACAGTATACATTTGAGAGCAGCAAAAGGGAGTCCGAGGTATAAAGCACATGAGTACAATGTGAGACAGATAATTTTGGTTTGGAAAGAAGATGGACTTTGTAGGCACCCAACTGTCTTTTTTTTTTCTTAAAATACATAGGTTTTTATTAAAGCATTGAACATATAAAAAGCATAGCTAAATATTATTTCCATTTGTAGTCAATAAAGGATTTTTTTTATACAATATGCATATCAACCAATATTACTCTCCCTGGGTATTACGCAGCCTCCCCACCTAAAATTAAGATTACTAGGACACCGCCAACTGAGACCACTGTATTGTAATATGGTCAAGGATAGACACAAACCGGGATGACTTAGTCCAGCTCAGCATGTTTTGCGGCTGTGCGCTTCTTCAGGAGCTTAACGTGACATCTATATGAGTAGAATACAAAAATCTGTGTATGTTGTATAAATATCCATAAATACATACAAAGTCATATCATAAAATGTCAGTTACAAAATACCAGTATGCATAAACCAATATAAGAAGAGAATGAGACAATCAGCCACTTGGCGGATCTTACAAGTGGATGTGGGGGCACTTCTAAGAGATAACAACCAAGGCATCACTGAGGGTGAGAATGGTAGTATGTCTTAGACTAACCAAAATATACAGTCAGGTCCATAAATATTGGGACATTGACACAATTTTAACATTTTTGGCTCTATACACCACCACAATGGATTTGAAATGAAACGAACAAGATGTTCTTTAACTGCAGACTGTCCGCCTTAATTTGAGCGTATTTACATCCAAATCAGGTGAATGGTGTAGGAATTACAACAGTTTGCATATGTGCCTTCCACTTGTTAAGGGACCAAAAGTAATGGGACAGAATAATAATCATAAACCAAACTTTCACTTTTTAATACTTGGTTGCAAATCCTTTGCAGTCAATTACAGCCTGAAGTCTGGAAAGCATAGACATCACCAGATGCTGGGTTTCATCCCTGGGGATGCTCTGCCAGGCCGTTACTGCATCTGTCAAAAAACAAGGGTAGAAAGATATTCTAAATAATACTGGTAATCTTGGTAGTTTGTTTCCACACAAAGAGGTTTGTAGCTATCCTTGATCATATTACAATACAGTGGACTCGGTTGGCGGTGTCCTAGTAGTTTTAGTTTTATGTTATCTTAGCCTGCTGTTTCCTCTTGTACCAAATTATATTGTAACTGTAATGTCTACCTTAATTTTGTAAAGTGCTGCGCAAACTGTTGGCGCTATATAAATCCTGTATAAGAATAATATTAATGTGGGGAGGCTGTGTAATACCCTGGGAGAGTGATACCGGTTGATATGAATATTGTATAAACAAAATCTTTTATTGGCTACAAATGGAAATAATGTTTAGCTATGCTTTTTATATGTTCAATGCTTTAACCTTTCACCTGCTGCAAGCTGAATAGTTCAAGGATATTGTGGCTTTGTTGCATGTGTGCTGATCCCTGTTTTCCCAGGTTAAATACACATGGTGCTCAGTGTGCTTTTTGATTTGTCAAAGTTTTGGTCTTAAGGGTCCATCTTGGTTACAAGCCAGGTCAATCCCCCTAGATGTTTAGTTTAATATTTTTTACTCTGTAATTGTATCTGACAATTACAATAATGACAGTGCACAGTGGCATCATTACTGCCAACGCCTCTTATTTTTCTGAGTCGGTTATAGCTGGGTTTGAGGGCTCGCATTCATGCAAAATGTTGCAAAGTAAGTTGTACAGGAAAGACATGTATTATTACATCCTCAGCACAGGGCATCATGTTGAAGAACATTAAATAAAGGGAATGTGGGCAGGAAGATTTCAAGCGTAGTTCCGACCCCCACCACCTTCCAAAAAAAATAAATAAAAGTCAGCAGCTACAAATACTGTGGCTGCTGACTTGTAATAG